TGTCTCTGCTGCATAACACTGTACTGCACAAGGGAAGATGTGAAGCAGTTCAGGGCCATGAGCATAAACATTTTGTTAATATCCTAGTAATATGAGGAAGTGAAAGAAAACTCTCCAAGCTTTGTTAACCAAGGGTAGAACAGAAATGCCATACCCAGAGTAATTCTGCTTCAAAGAAGGCCTTTGGAAAGGTGATTAGTCGATTTATTCAGTATTCTGTGCAAACTCTGGCAGGCTTATTCAATTTATGAAATAACACAGATGTTTCAGAAGGAGAAATAAGCAGCTGACACTTCTTCAGGGGCATGACTAATGGGCCATTATGACAGCAATTAAGGAGTAACCATTGGCAGCCTGTAACAACTGATACTGCTACCCTGCATTTCTTAGGTTTTCTGTTAATTACATAAAATTTAAGTCTCTAATGAATTTCAATTAAACCAAAGTAAGGCATCAAATGGAAAGAAATATTGGTGAAGAAGGACTTGATATAAAAATGCATATTGGCCGAACACATTATGTTTTACGGTCAAGATTTAATATTTCCTATTGGATTCTGATTGATTTATCATAGCTTCTTGGCAGCGAAGCAGCCTTTAAAATCATTTTCATATCAGCATGTCCATCCAAAGTAGTGGAAAGTAACAAAAAATGTCTGGCACCCATAATTAAATTGGAAAGTAACAAAACCTGTCTAGAACTCATAATTAAATTTGAAGGGTAAGAGGATACTAATTTTAAGTAATTATACCATCTCCCTTTATCCAACTTCCAGATTTAATTTTCACTTCTTGAGGGTAGGGACTGAATCTAAGTATTCTCAGCTGAAAGATTACTACAGAACCTGGACACAGCAGTCACTCAAATGATGTTTCCTAAATAACTGAATACATTAATGGATATGAGGTCGTGAGGAATAATGATCAAAATAGCTCAGGTTTTCATCTATCAAATCAGTTAAGGTAAACAAAACAACAAATTATCCTTGTGTCCAATTTAGCTTGAAACCTTAACTTTTTCTCTGGTAACAACAATCACCTATTTCAAAGACACTGGCTTTAAAGACAGAAAACATGGTCTTTACCAACATACCATTTGGTGGTAAGAGAAAATTTGAAAAAGACAAAACATATTATTACATTTAGAAGTTCAGATAGAAAATTTGGAACTAAGGAAATGTACCATAATTTTGTTCTTTTCATTCATAAATTCACCATCAATTAGATTAAATCCAGTGTGCCCCAATTTGGGGCTACAGGTATGAGGTTTTTAAAAAATTCAATGTTTTTCAACTGTGTTTTAAGTGGATTAGCTTTATAGACTTTTATTTTTATTATAAAGCATGGGAATTTTACAATAACATGTTTAAATAATCATAAAATACTGCTGTACATGAAATGACATTAAAGTTGCCAAAACAGATCCACTGGTTGGCAGGAAATAACACTATATAAAACGTGTATATAAATGTATAAATACAGAGTTGTCCAAAAGTACTGTAGAAATGTTCAGAAGCTAAAGCTTCCTTAACCAGTAGGACCCCACTGTGATACAGGGTCTCCTGAATATTACTTTAGAATTCTCAAACAGTACCCTAAGAACAAGTTTATTTAGGCAGAGGCAAACTTCAATCAGGGATCACTGTGAATGTTTCTTGGTGTTTAAAAAAAAAAATACAATAAATAGAAACTCAGTCTTACTGCCTTTGGGTGAGTGGTGATAGTACTGTAAGAAATAAAAATAAGAGGGTTCAAATACAAGCAGAGAAAAATAAAAATGTTAAAAGTTGAAATAAATCACACAATAGCTACTATACTACATGGAACAAAATGGATCCAAGGCTTAGAGAAATTGTAAGACTCATTCTCAGATCTGGGGCATGATAAAAAGGTCTCTGAAAGACCATAGACACTTCTCAGAAAAGAACAGGGCAGAACACAGGCATGGTGAGGCTTTTCACAACTGATCTACCACACTGTCTTTCTGCTTAATACCGCTTTTTTTTCTTTTACATTACCAGCACACAGTCTGTACTTAATTATCAAGGAACTACCAATGTGTAGATACAATACTAAGGGAAAGAGTTCAAAAATAAGTAAAGTAATCCACCTTCCAGAAGAGAAATAAGTATGTATATAAATATTTACAAGAAAGCAAGGTAAGAGCTTACAGATACAAATATGAAATGCATAAGGACACTATTAGTAGAACACTTTTGTGTAGGAAGAATACAAGATTAATATTAAAATAAAGGTGTTGCATATGTTTCATTAAGCTATATGCAAAATCCAATGATCACATTAGTAATATAACATTATTAATTATTAACATAAATGGTGATTTTATACTATTATTTCAACCTTCTGAATATTTCTGAATTTGTCATTTCTATAAGGTTGTTTAGTAAACAATTACTTTTATTGCTCATAAAGCTTGTGCTAATATTTTAACTAAAGTTTTTAGTGTTTAACAATTCATGCACTTCCTCATTTCTAAAAGCATAACTGAGTACTTCAACATAAAAAAGAGAAATACCAAATGTTAACAATTTTTAAGTATTATTGGACATGACCTCATATAAGGTCACTAGATCAACATGTAAAATCACAAAATGAATCAAAAAACTTATTACCAACAAGCAAGATCAATTATACTATTTGGAGAATACAGAGTAATAGGCAGAAAAGTTATGGTGATCTGAAGAGCAAAGGGCAAAATACTAATAATATGTCTCCTATATTCAATAATTCAAATAATTCAATGCCTTTAGTACATAACAGATCTTTTGCAAAATAAAATACATAGTACTAGCCCTAAAGTTATATATATAAAAAAGCAACTTTCTTTCAAAAAAATATACAATTAAAAACATAAAATTTCTTGTTTCATATCTAGCCATACTTTTTATTCATTTATTTATTTATTTTTTGGTACCGGGGATTGAACTCAGGACCTTGTGCGTGCAAGGCAGGCAGAAGAACCACTGAGCTAAATCCCTAGCCCTAGCCATACTTTTGAAGGAAACATCACTATGTGAAATCTGGAGTACAAAGTAAATAGACATTTTATATAATGGTTTAAATAATAAATTTTACTAATCCAAGGTTTCTCCCAAAGTAGTAAAAGCTTCAGATTTTTAAAACCACTCAACCCTTAAATACTAAGCACAGCATTAAGTTATATGTGAATTCCTGCAACATGTACATGTGTGTACGCTCCGGGACTGGAGCCTCAAGAAAACCACGGAAACATAAAAGGCCCTGCGTGGAGGCAGAGAGCAGTTTGTACCACCCTGTAATTCTGCTCTTCATTAGAAGGACATGCAAATTTTTAGTTTCAGGGTACATATGAGAATCATACTACTACACTAAATGCCTGAGTCAATTCAAAGGGAATGACAAATAAGATTCGTCTTTGTTGATTTAAGATTTATCCTGAAATACTGAGCAGGTGTCAAGTCAACCTAAGCAAGCAGTCCTTAACATTCAGAAAGTCACTGACTCAACATCTCTGGAATACCTTCTACCCAGACATTCAAAACACGCTTGGAAATAGAAAATTTTGTCTTCCGCCAGCACATCTAAATTTATTGAAAGTCATTTTTAAAAAGGCGTTGCTAAGTCTGGAAAACTATCACTCTTAACATAAATAGGAATTAAGTGTCTATGTGCCGTGAACTATTTTTGTTGATGCCATATTGAGCCTCCTTCTTCCTGAAGTATTTCCATGCATTGTACAAAATCTATCAACAAAATGAAGGAAGAACAGAAAACAAGGGCAAGGACATCAAGAAAAACCTAAGGTAAAATATAAAGCAGAAGTGTACTGGAAGAGAGAAGAGCAGGATATGTGAGTTCAGACAGGCTTCTGAAACAGCAAACCAATTACAGCTCATCTACTGATCTTCCTCTTTTCTCTTTACTCATTTTTAAGACATCCTTTTATTAAAATGACATCCTTTTTAAAAACTATGAAAATGTGAAAATCATTGTATTTTATTATAAGTAACCAGCTCAACAATCTGTCTATCTGCACCTGTCTGCCTCTTGGCATGAATCTAAGCCCATCTTTCCTCACATAATACAGAGGAATGATTAGGGTCTCGGGGGCTCAGAAGCAGGGTAAAAAAGTTGATTACATTCTCAGATGGGAATTTTTGCAAAGGCTTGCTTTGTAAACTCCACAAATACATTGTTCATTTCAGCATGAGTATGTTAATAAACAGTAGTTATATAATATGAATCCTCCAAATAATCCAAACTAGAATTCTGTCCAAAGATCCATTTTAAATTCTCCAACTTGTATTTCAGAAAAAAAATACAAGAAAGTCTTTGGGCATATTGGCTACTTTTCCAGCCTTATTAGGAAACATCAAATCAATTTATGTTTATTGAAAGCCCACCTACATCCAGGAAGGAAGTTTGTGTTAGATTTAACTTCTGTAAATTGGGAATTTTAACGCCTCTTTCGGTAGGAACTGTATCAGGGAGATATTTTTCTCTGATTCTATTTTACCCCTAAAACAACCACAGACATAGGTGAAAAAGAAGCCACATCTCAGAAGAAAAGAGATTCAGTTGAAATCATCAATAAAGAGTTATCCAATATAATTTGCTTAGGGTTTACAGTCTGATTACAGGAACCTGACCTACAATAACCTGTGTAAATATGGTTAGTTTGTAATAGCTGTGTCATACTGAAATTAATGGCATTATGGAAGTTGGACTAACTAAAATTAAGTTATACATGCCAAAGAAATAAAATATAAAAGAGCAAAACCAGCTTCTATTATAAACTCAAACATGAGACCTTTTTAAACAGCCATTTCAAGTAAAGCACTTTTCAGTATTACTTCCTAAAACATTAAGATGAAGAAAATTGAAAAAAAAATTTAAAAATATTTTTAAAATATAATAATAAATATATTAAAATAAATAATATTAAAAATATTAGGGAAAATAAACAAGACAAATATGTTGCTAATTAAGTCTTGGTTATACCTGCCATGCAGTAAGGCAAGAGGTGCACATCAAATGCCCACAGGGCTCAATCTTGACATCTTTGTCATTTTCTGCACAAATTTTACAGAGCTGAAAAGTGGAGCCCATTTCACAGTATAATTCATATTGTTCCTGGAATATGGGGAGAAAAAAAGGCAATGTTAATGTATTTCTAGCATAAACTGTTAACATTTAATTTTCTCAATCACAATGACTTATAGTAAGTATTTTACACTTGAACCAGTCAGAATTATGTTACTATTTTAGACATGTTTTAAATTGATAACCATAGTTTGGTCTGTTAAATCAATTTTTGACATGCTTGAGCTTTTTAGTAGCCAATTTATAAGCTTTTTAACACTGGATTATTTAATATTTTATACTGTTCCCTAGAGAAGGGACTTGCTTCAACAATCACAGGGATTCAGAAGACAAAACCTTTGATTTTAAAATGGTAAAATAAGTGAATTATATTCTTTGTAATGTGATATGCTCACCTAATTCCACTGTGAAATAAAGTAAAAATACTCTAGGTGAACATTAAATTTTATTTATTAGATATCTTTAGAAATCCCACAATGGAAGACTAGCAACATTTGTCTTTCCTGTGTGCCACACACTGTAGCCACATTTATTATTTATATGCTCTAAAGCATAAGATATATTGGATTTTTAAAAAATTACATGAATCTCACTAAGTTTTCATTATTTTATTCAAATTCTAAGTCTTTGAGTCTAAAGTTCATGCACTGTTCCTATCTGACATTGTCAAGAAAACTAATCATTTCAGTAACCAAAAAGTGATTTATTAAAAGTTTCTGTTCCTTTGATTTACTAATATTTCAAGCTAAGAATGTCTGGCATAGTAAATGTGCAAAATTAGAAATGTCTATGTCACAAAAAAAATACAGATTGTTAAATGTAAAGAAAATATTTTATAAAGTGCTGCTTACAAGGAATAAAAAGTGAAGGAATCATGAAATCAAAATTTATATATAAAGCCATGTTTTAGGCCTACAAGTACTTGACCTTGAGTAAAAAAAATAAGTGACAATTTATTCAACAATCTACCAGAAGATACTACAATATTACAATCCTGGAACAAAACAAATATACTCACACATACACCCACATAGAAATAATACACACATACATATGAATTTTATATACGTGGTATATGTATGACTATATTCATAATTTTTAGGCAAATAGAGATAAGTAAATTCATTAAGATAAGAAAGAACTAAAATCTAAAGTAATTTAAAGTAAGTAATGAAATATTGAATTTGTTGAAATAATTATTTATACTGGTTAGGACTATCCAAATACGTTTACAATTATAAGAAAATTCTAATATAGTAAAATCATAGATGCAGATCTTAATGTAACCTAAGGGGTAAGAATATTAGTATTTTAAGATAATGATGTTACTTTTTTTTTTTTTGGTACCGGGGATCGAACTTGGGACCTTGTGCTTGCAAGGCAGGCGCTAGAACCACTGAGCTAAATCCCCGGCCCAATGATGTTACTCTTGAAGATTTATTTTTAAATAGCTCCGTAAAGAGGAACTATCTCTTGTCAGTGACCTTTCACACATATCATAAAATCACTATACAAATTTTAAACATGATAATCATGTATGACATTTAAATAGTTATCCACAAATTGTAAATATAAATTTTAACAAATAGGTTTTACTCAACACTATCAAGTCAGGGATGGAAGCTAGGATAATTACAAAGTAAATTATCTTCTGGAAAAAAAAAAACCAAAAAACTCTCACGTTTGGTTGTTTACCTTGCAATTTTTATTACTTATTATGGAAAACATACACATATCTAAAATAAAAGGTATTTTAAAAGTATACGTCTGTAAAATAAAATATTCAATTTCCTTTCATCCTCTCTGATTTCCCAATCTTTTTAACTTTCTTAAATACTGTCACCAGTTTCATTATTTTTGAAATGTGCATATATATGTTCAAATATGGTTTCTTATATGTTTATTTATAAATACTGGACTCATTTTCAAAATAAAATGCTACATAATCAAGCTTTACCTAAATGGGGTTTTTTTTCTTCACAAAACAAGACGCAAGAGTTCCCATGGGACTATATAGAGCTGCCTTCCTCTGGTTGATGATTTCATATAACTACTGTGGTGAGTATACTATGGTTATTTAATCTTAGAGAACACGTTGTTGTTTTGTAACTTTGTACTTCTATCAGAAATAATACAGTGAACACCCTATTGGACAGACCTTTGTGTGCTTGTGTACGTGATACAAATATAGAATTTGGAGTCAAAAGATGTTTTCAGTTAGACTTCTATAGTTACTGAATATTAACCTATAGAAGGCCTTGCCAACAAATTATATTCTCACTCATAATTTTGAGGGTGCCAAATCAGATTGAGAAAAACATACATACTATCTTCAATCATCTTTAATTACTCACTTAACTCTGGCAGCTATAGCAAAAATTCTTTCAATCATTTTTCTGGTTTTCTAACCTAAGGTTTGCTCCTCACATCTATATATCTACCTACACATTCATCAATTTCTATATAAATGCTAATACTATATTGCAAGCAAGAACATTAAGACCAGAATTTTCTATCCAAAATATATAATTTCTTTTCATTTTAGAATTCCTGAAGTTACCCTTTGTATAAAATACTTGCACCTGATTTATCAATAGTTAAGATATTCTGATTTCTAAGGTTTTATACGTAAGTAATTATTTTGAGAAACTGTCCTTACCTGTGTGACTTTTATGTGATCATGGGGTGTAGGTTCACATAAGCCAGTTAAATCGGGATTATAACTCCTCCCATCTGGATAAAGATAACTGAATTTAAAAAGAAACTTTATTACCTTCAACATACAAGTTTTAATTGCGTTTAAGGTTATTTAAGACATTTTTATGTTGCTTGTTTTTATAACAAATCACATTTTTTCGGTTTTCAGAATGTGATATTTTTAGGTTATGTAAAATGTAGAAATCATTTCCATACAACTCAGTGGATTCAGCCACTAGTCAACTATTTTTAATTAAATCTCTTTAATATATGATCCTCATAAAAATTTAAAATGTATTTTTCTGATTACAGTAATTATGTTGTATTCCAAAACAGTTTGAATATACTTCTACTTCCAATTATTACTTTTTTCAATTTTATTTTACCATGTTTATTATCACAGGTAAAGTAGAAAACAGCTTTCTCAACTTATTCAGACACTTTTCTCTGTTGTTTCCTTTTCTACAGTTTTCCAATCTTACTTCTTTCTACTCATCTAATATCTGCATAGGCAGCCACACACCAGCACATACATACACACACACACACACACACACACACACACACACACACTTTTAAAAATGAGAAAATGTTAAAATTCCATGTTTCATTGACTTTAATAAAACACAGAATGGTCATATCAAAGCAATGTTGTATTAGAACAGAAATCTGAACTAAAGCTTATAATAACACTGATGCTATTTTGCTGTTAAATCACAATTTTTACTCATTGTTCAGAAAGTCAATGAAAATGAAGATTTTTTTCAGTTAATACCCACTTTTAATTAAGAAATGGTAATATTACTGCTAGATATCAATTGAGTAAATTATGGTTAGTTTTGTTTAATTTCTTTCTATAGTGGAGAACTTTATATAAAAATACTTATGTTTAAATGAAGAGTCTATAACGATGTTAGTAACTACCAGAATTTATGCAAGAAACTCAGAAAAATGAACTTAAAAGGTAGATGATTCTTATACAGTATGAGAAAGATCAGTAAAATGATTTCTTTGTTGACATATAAATACAGTATAATCTATGGGGACACATTCCAAATTCTACAGATATTAAAATACGGAAATAATAAGCAAAACGTGGTAATTTCTTTTTATATCCTAAAATAACCATTAAAAGAATTATCGTACAGTATTTTATCATACATCAAAAATATGTAGAAATTCTAGGACAAATTCAGAAATAATTACAAAAATTATAGAGAAGAAACATTTTAAAAAGAGAAAAGAAAAGAAAGATGTTAAGGACAGGTTAAAATTTTCTATTTAACTTATCAGGGGCCCTTTGATGATTGTTATTCTGTATACAGCTAATAAGCCACCTTTCATGGCAGGGAAGGAGTAAGCAATTTTTGATGTTTACCAAAATAAACCAAGTTATCATCTATATCATGCAATATTGGATTAACTATAAGGAAATATGGCTGAAATTGATAATAGTTGGACCAGATGACCCTGCGGTTTCACTGATCTGAAGAAATCACTAAACTTAACAAACATAATGTAATCTATTTTATCTTTATCTGCTATGGAAATTTAAACTAGCCATTCCCTCTGAAGATGCCACAGTCTGTGTGTGTGTGTGTCCTGGTGTAAAGATTAACAGTTATTCTGCGTAAGAGTTCAGAGGCTTTGTTGCATTGACTATAATACTGTAATTTAGTGTTTTTGATTGGCTTTTAAAACTAGATGGAAAGTATAGTAACAATACAAGTAAGAATATCAAAATATTCCATTTACAGGTTTCTCTGCTCACACCTTTGTAAAGTAAAACTTTCAAGTAACTTTTCTTTAAAACTAACGAATAAGGAACTAGAGATATTTATAGCTAAGTGGATGCACACTGAGGCCATACTCTTAAGTGAAATAAACAGGACACACATGAGCAAGTACCAAATAGTTTTTCTGGTGTGAAAAACTAAAAGTGTAAATAAGGATCAAAATGTATAATTGATATTGTGAAATAAGAAGAAAAGGTATAAAGGAGTAGGGGAAGTGGGAGGGCTAGGGGAAAGGAAAGAAAGGAAAAGAAAAAAATGAGAAAAGGAAAAAAATGGAAACAAAGTCTTTGTAAATAGGGAAAGGTGGAGGGGGGTGAAGGGAGGGCAGGGGAATGGGGAAAAAATAAGAACCAAGATACTCATGTAAAGGTACAAGATCCCAATGATGAATGTAACTGTATTGTATACCTAAAATGTACCAATAAACTTAGTGAAAAAAATAAAAACAAGAAAACTAAAAATCCTACAATTATAATGAGTCAAAAGCTGCACATATGAATATTTAATACATCCAAATTAAGGTAAAACAAATAATTATAGCAAATTTATGAAAATTCAAAAAGAAATTCATATTTGGTTCCAAAATTTGTGATTTACTTTCTATGTAATTTCCTGAAAACTTGTAGCTTTAAAAACATATACTGTTTCTTCACATATTTCACACATATTTCTTTTTCCCTTTTTATCTGTCTTACTTTCTTTTAAATATTTTTATCAGTATATGTTTGCAGTATGTAATGATTACATTCATGGTGGGGAGCTGAAGTTGGAACAAATACATAACACATCTTAATTCTTTCTTATACCATTCTCCTTCCCTCTCTCTTCCCTCCATTATTCTTTTGGTGACTCTTCATATTGCAAAAGATCTATCTCCTTGTTTCCTATTTTCTATCTTATTTTCTCTTTAATTTGGGTTCCTCATATCAGAAAAACCATGCAATATGTAAGCTTGTGTCTGATTTATTTCCCTAACATTATGTTTTCTAGGTGCACCTATTTTCCTACAAATGACACAACTGTTTCCTGTTTTTATTAGTACATATTTGCAGTGCATGATGTTTACATTCACCCCAGGGAGTAGATACATGTACTTAACATATCTTGATTCTTTTTATTTTATTCACATTCCCCTCCCCACCCACCTCCCTCCTCCATCTCTAGACTCCCTTTCTTCATTTTCATTATTATTATTATTATTTAGACCATATTTGCCACATATAATGTTTACATTCATGGTGGGTTATTGGCACATGAGCATCTTAAATCTTTTTTTTTTAATGTCCCTTTTCCTTTCCCTCCCACTCTTGTCCCTTACTTTTTTTTTTGAGATAGGGTATCACTAGATATATAGCTGAGGCTGGCCTTGAACTCACTATGTATCCCAGGCTGGCCTGGAACTCACGGCCATCCTCTTGGCTCAGTGTCCAGGTGTGTGCCACCATGTCCAGCTTCCCTCATCTTTGCATCCCCTTTCTATTTAAAAAAGATCTATCTCCCTTTTATCAATCTTTTATCCTTATTTTTCTTTTAATCAATCTTTTATTTTGCTTATTTGTACTATGAATAACTCAAATGACAGAAACTTTGATATGTAAGCTTGTGTGTCTGATTTATTTCACTTACTGTTTTCAAAATGTCCTTTCTATGGAACAGCAGTACTCAGATTATTTGCTCTTCACTAACTCTGGTGGACTATCTATCTCCTGATAGGCTCCTATCATAATCCATTCTTGCAAATTGGATTACATATATCTCTAAGTTACTCAAGAAATTTTAAAAAGCCCCTGTTGGCCAGGATCTTGGCACATGCCTATAATCCCAGGTACTCACAGGCTCAGGCAGGAGGGATTACAAGTTGGAGCACACCCTGAGCAACTTAGCTAGATCCTGTCTCAAAGAATAAAAGAGGGCTGGGGATGTAGCTGAGAGGAAGATGCTGGATTCAATCCCTACTACTGCCAAGAAAAAGAAAAATTTGTAAAAGTAAAGAAGTGGCACATGGAGAGGATTTTGGATAGATTACTATAATGAGCAAAGAAAAGAATACAGAGAAAAAGAAAAAAAAGGTAGAGAAACAAAAAGATAAAAAGAAAAAAAATATAGTACTAACAGTCAAAATAAAAAGTGGCAACTGTATTATTTTAAAAGTATTTAGGTCTCAAATTTTCCTATGAGAGGTGCAAACTGATAACGTAATTTGTCATTGTATTTTACATCATATACTTAGTTTCAAATAATTAGGTTGCCTTAAAATGACTAAAGATATGAACAATAAACAATATACATTTCCGAGTCTTGAGGTGATTGTCAGCCTCACTATCTACTTTCTCCATCTCTGGGCAGACTCTATTTTTCAACTTTGTGAGTCATAAACTAGCTCAATCCCATTTCTCATACTTACAATCCTTCCCTGCTCCCATCAATCAGGGCTTGAAACAAGGGCTTGTTGTGAGGTATGGTCTGCAAGATATTTCCATCCCCGGTCACGTAGCCAATGGCCCACTGTCCCAGTCGAGTGCAGCTTAACCGGAAAATATAGCTGGAAAACACAAGCAAACATTGTTCAATCACATTCAAAAGGTATGCTAAACATTAAATAATTTGTTAGGCTTTTTAAAAAGCAAAATAAGACGCAGAATCATTTAAAATTCCTGATAGAAAGTTTTATCATGTTTTTAACATCATCATACTTCTGTGTTTTTTGACCTGTAAAACAAATATTGGTAACAAATTCTTTTCACTTATTTATCTCAAGAGTTATATGAGAAAACACATAAGTTGTAAAGTATCAAATGATTTATTGTCATCATTATCAGGGATGCTGTGTATGAAAATGCTGCAGATATGAAACGGCTATGACATAGGTCATTTTTGAGAAGTAAAAATAAGATACATGCATAAGAATTTAATTTTCCATCTCAGAAACTGAGCCAGTTTCTATAGTGGAATTCAATGGCTTATTTTTAAATATTAAAATTATGCATTTTAACTGTTAACTTATTTTAAAATAATACTTTTTCTTTCAAGTATTTCAGTGATCTATCTTTAAATAAATCTCAAAAGAGCTGAACTATAATAATGAGAATGCAAACTAGGTAAATTCATATTTGCCACTCAAACCTGCCAAACTAAGGACTGTATCTTTCACTATGAAGCCAAAATTGTTCCAAACATAAATGAAATGAAAGACAAATCCTTTAAAATGAATCTCCAATGAAAGGAGACATTGACTTGGCTTTAAATGCATCATCATTTACTTATTCATTTAGTTGTCTATGTCAGTTTAGATCATTTCTCTTTATTTCAGTGTATTACACTCAATCCTGCCATCATCAATATCCATATCTGGATTTTATAGCTCATTAAGTAGATCAAAAGTAAGTTAACTTAAGTCTGCTGGCTACAAGAGAGCTGCTATATGAATGTAAAAAATAAGAGAGAAATAAGGGAAATGAATATCTCTTAATTTATGTCAGTTATTGACAAACCAAGCACTATATAAAAACTTCGCAAAATATAATTTAGCACACATAATGGCTATACAGTCACCACAGTTAATTAACCTGAATATTTAGTAATGCAATGTGATTTCATCTACCAGGAAACAAGTTTTTATAACAACAGAAAATGTGATATTTTAATGTTAAGATCTTCATACTCGTGATAGAACCACTGTAGAGGACCTTTCAAAGAAATCTAAAAAGATATTGCGCTAGAAAGCCTGAAAATAGGGATATCAACCTGTCAATTATTGGCATCTTTAATCAGAATCAGATAAAACAATTCTACATAGACTAAAGACTGTGACGTTATGAAAAGTGCTATAAAAATAGAAAGTCAATGTAAGTTATAACTTACTTTAGAAGATCGTAACTAGTTACATTAAGAAATGTATATGATACAATTCTTTCAAATAAAAAAGTAAAATACTCAGCCATAAAGAATGAGAAACTAGAGACATTTATATAAGTGGATGCACATTGAGGCCATACTCTTTAAGTGAAATAAATAGGACACACATGTGTAAATGTGTAAATACCAAATAGTTTCTTTGGTGTGAATAACTGAAAGCGTAAATAAGAATCAAAATGTGTAATTGATATTGTGAAATAGGAAGAAAATGTTTAAAGGAATAGGGGACGTGGGAGGAGAAGGGGAAAGGAAAGAAGGGAAAAGAAAAAATATGAGAAAAGGAAAAACATGGAAACAAAGTCTTTGTAAATAGGGAAGGGTGAAGCGGGTGAAGGGCAGGGGAATGGGGAAAAAATAAGAACCAAGATACTCATGTAAAGGTACAAGATCCCAATGATGAATGCAACTGTATTGTATACCTAAAATGTACCAATAAACTAAATGGAAAAATATAACAATAAAAGAGTAAAATATAAGAACCTTAAAAATCTGTAGAAATATATGAAAATATAAAATTATAAATCTACATGGTTAATATTTTTAAACTAGTTCCATATTTTTTCATATAAAGAGCCTAATACCAAAAAGCATTCTTATGAAATTGCTCAGTTTTTAACATCCCGTTTTGTTTTCTTAAATATTCTTTCAAGATGATGTTTCTAAAACTGATCATCACATAGGCGGTTCAAACAATTCATGTACAATAGCAGTATCATTACTAGTAATTTGATGATAGTTGACAAAATGGCCTTTTAGAACAACTTTTTCCTCTTATGCACATTTTTGTTATTCACTTTCATTTGTGTAACATTTTCTATCATTTGCTGCTGACCCTTTTGTTGGTAGCTACTTCTGAGCTTCGTGAAATCAATTTTTGCCTTATTTTTAGTACCTCGCTTTGCAAAAATGGCATAATTAACATAATCAAAAGAATATGTTTCATGTTGACAAGGTCATTTTTGATTCAAGCACTCTTTAACACTAAGTCATTCAATTTGTGCATATGTGGTATTAAGGATCACATCCTATACCTCAACCCTCAAATATAATTTCAGCACATTAGTTAGAACAGAAGTGTCCTTGGAACAGAACCAAGTATTTTCCTTACTTTGAATTTAAAAAGATCAAAATGTTCTAGGAAAAAGACCAGTGAATCACAGTTATTCTGCAAAGCAAATATTTAAAATTATTTGATTTTGTTCACAAAAAGTTTTCCTAAACATATTTTAAGTTCTCACATCACACTTTGCACATTACACATTACTACAACTACCTATTTCTTCTTTAGCTATTCAAAAACCTAATCATAAGAAATCCTTCAATGATACAAAACAATCCCATGAACATACAAAACTCTCCTTAATCTAAACAGAACCTAAGTCCCCATGAACATATAAAACTCTTAAACAGAACCTTCAACAGCAGCCTAGTTATCTCCTGTACCATCAACTTCTCTTCGTAACATATTAATTCCTTAAACAAATTAAATTTTTACTGTGATAGAGAAGAAAGAATCAAAACTGTTGGCTTAAATCTTAGAAGACTAAGAAAGGATAAACACCAAAGTTATTACAAATCAAATGAAAATGATCCTAGAAGCAAAAGGTGGGCTTGAAAAACAAATTCATTCTTTTCTTTTTTTAACAAATTCATTCTTGAAGGAAACCATCTCTATATGAAAATCAGTGCACTAATGGGCAGCAAAATGATATTCTCCTGCCAAAAAGTGACAACTCTGAGCACAGATCTCTAGTGTCTCTACTGCTGTACTCAGAACACTGTACCATAACAGATGTCATCGCTCAAATGGCTAGGTGGAAAATAGTAGAAAATGCATGTATCCAGGGAAGGGACAGATTTTCTGGTCTTGCATTTGTCATTCATTAGGTGTGATTTCTCGGCCAAATCCAAAGGCTTCGCTAACTAAACACTCAACCTCTGTAAGTCTCAGTCTATTACATCATTTGTAAAATGAAACAATTTTTGAAGCTGTAAAGAGGTTTGAGGTGTTACAGAAGCTGTTCTCAGGGACATGAAGTTGATTTGTGGTAACACTGGGCTAATATTTATGTGTTTTATGTATTTATCATGTACAAGTATGCATGTAAATGCATTTACACATATTTATTTGTATTACCATGTAAGTAAAATGATCTATTTGTCTTCAGTATTCAATACTTAAGATATTCAAGTATTCAAATATACACATACAATGCTGTATAAAACACAGGAATTAAAAATAATCAATATATGTTAATATCCTCCAATGTGAAAAGCAGAAATCTAAGGATAAATGAATCTTTAAGTTTATCACATTGCACAGTAGCACATCCCCTTTGAATTCATGAACACTAAGTTGTACAACAAGCACAATCCATCAATTTAAAGGTCACAACTGAGAAGCACCATTTTGTTCTAGTAACTTCCTCATCCCTGGTAAGAGTTACTGATTTATTCAGATAATAACCATGGAAGATTTCTTTTCTTTAAATTTGCTGTAGAAGGTTACCGTTGCAAAGCCTTACCTTCCAGGTTTGGTGCTGTACTTCTGCAGGCGTGCCTTAACCTCATCATAAGTGAGAAATGCCATGTACCCGGGATGTGTCACAGCTAAGAAATTCCAATTCCGGAGAATAGAGCCCCACGGCTGAAAAAAATACATAAATTGAGAGAATATCTAGATAATATCAACCAATGATTACACACCAACTCATTATTTCATACCCTTAATGAAATTCTACTGGATATTTTTGTACTTATTTGTCTTGAGTTAACCTTTGTTAACAGCAAATATGCAATAGTTTGTTCTTTTTTCGTTGAGAAATGTAATCAGACAGAAAAAAGATCTCTTAGGAACCGAATATAAAGAACAAAAAGGAAAACCTTATAACCTCTACATAGTCTACTTTTAATACAGCATTTGTGATCATTTTAAAACATAAACCACATAATCTTTTTCTTCAAAACTTTCTAATTTTAAATAAGAACCAAAGTACTCGTAAAGAGCCTCCAATGACTCCAATGGGCCTAACACCGTTTGATCTCAGGTGACTTTCTGTCCCAGTCTCTTATCACACTTCCACTTCCTGCCTCTTCTCTGGTCACACTGGCCTCTTTGTCACTGGCCTGAACACCAGCCCATCTGTCACCAGTCTTTGATTCTTCTACCTAAATTCTCCCCTTCCAAATGTCATGTGATTCCTTTCTCCAATGTCCCTTCCTCAATGAAAATGACCAGCATATTTAAAACAGGTACCGCCTGTCACATTCCTCATCTGCTATATGTCTGTTCTGTCCACTAATGTGCCCACAGGTGCCTCATTTTGTACAATGACAAAGCATACCACAGAAAGTGTTTTGGCAAAAGTTGCACATTAACATAAGCTACCTAAGGGCAAGGAACATGTCTGTCTTGCTCATCCACGGATACTGACAGACATACACAGTGTCAGATACACTGTTGTTGAATAGTAACTTTCATGTTTCCTCCAAGGTAGCATGCTACTGTACTTTCTCTTGGTTTAGGCTTAAACAATTATAAAATAGGAAACATTTAGGGTTTAAAAATGAGTTATATAAAAAAAATTCACAAAATACCTGGTATCAATATATCAATCTCTCTTTGATCTGATTAGTTGTCCCTCCAGCTACCACAGCAAGAGAAAAAGGCAGTTAGTGATAGACAACTTTGCTTGAGGGTGTGGATGAATCATTTGCAATTATTTTTCAGGCTGAGGCTACATTTATTCCTAGGAATTGGCAGCATAGTACATCTAATGTGCCAGATTCTTAACTCCAATCTTCTCCATGAAAGAAAAAAAACAGGTAATTTATGTGGCCAAGTAAAAACTATTGAAAAAGATATCCTGGGCTTGATTACTGATGAGAGTTCCTGCTTTTGTTTGTTTTGAGACTTGTTCTTCATTATTGTAAATCAAGTTTCAAATTTCCAAGTCAGAATTGTTCAAGGATTATTTCCCTTGAGATGAGAACAACAAGGGAAAGAATGACTTAGTAATAAAGAGTCATTTAGCCTTTTTTGACATAACAAGAAAAATCTTTAGGCTATTTCCTCATCACACTAAAATATCTAATTGGGCTTAAAAGGCGCTCTGGAGAATACTAACATGAGAGTTCTATCTGCACTTGAATAAAAGCATGTTTTTAATTTTGTCTTAAGGTATGACTAAAAATTACATAAAACATAGTTGGGGAAATATTAGCATATTTGTTTATTGTTTTGCTTTCTCAACTACAAAGGCCAAAGATAGATCCAATATAAAACAAATATTGGGGACACTTGCATTAAAGTCCACAAACGTTAATGGAAAGAACCACTTTTTAAAATGCTAAATTTCATGGACTGTCAATGGATAGGTTAAAATATAAGTGGAAAAAAATGAAATAGGAGTTGAGAGCCAACTGCTGCAGTATTTAGCAGCCATTTCTTAGTACATGATCCAGAGGGCCAGCTGTTAATCGCAAAAATATTTATGTAATAGGATGGGTCTGTGTGCTGTGTACTCATTAAACGCAGCCCACTCAAACAGTCAAAAACACATGTTACTTAAGCATGCTTTTTTTTCCTTTTCAAAGTATCTCGCAAACTAATGGCTTAAAGAAGGCAAAACAAAGTGTTTTGGAGAATAATTCATTGATCAAAGGAAATTTTTTTCATATACACAAATCCAAAATTGCTTGGAAATTTTTAAACTACTACAAAAGTTAAAGAAATGAATTAATTAGTCCTTCCATCATGCCAAATGCCACTATTTTCAAGAGCCAGTTACTGACTTAAAACTTATGTTAGCAGAGAGGCTTTAAGTAGCTTGCCCAGATACTCTTCATAAATTTTTTGCTGTAACTGATGACTTTCTTCCTCTTCCTCTGCCTTCTTTTTTTTTCCACTAATGACCTGTATTTCATAATAACCAGGATAGTCCCGCAAACACTCCTTCCTTACCCTGGCACCCTCAAATGTAGTGCCCCATCTCTGATGACCCAGTCTTCCCTAATAGCGGGGAAAATAGAAGGAAAAGGGAAATAGCAGCTCCAAGGAAAGGAAAGGGAGAAACAAAATCCATATATGTCATTTCAGGACTTTAGTACCTGCCTATCACAAAATCTCTCAGCCACCTGGAGAAGAAAGACCAGGATTAAAGGGAGAAGAAAGAAGACGATATGGCAAAGGTAAAATATAACCACAGGAAGATCCTTCTGAATACTCTCTAGTGTTTGTTCAATTTCTACCTGGGTATAAAGGTGAGGAGCCAGAGGAAGAGGCTGTCTTCTTTCCTTTCCTATTCAATTCTCAACTTTATCCTAGTCTCCACTGATCTCTTCTTCAAACTCTTATGCTACTTTATCTACCTTAGACCCCAAATCCTGATTGTACTTTACCCACTTTCAGATCCCACTCTGCCCATTCCCCTACCCCCATAATTCAGAGCTACTAATATTAGTACCATGTACAGTAAAATATGCCTGTGCGGTTACAGTATTAACACATTCTTCACAGACTGTGCAAACTTAAGGATGCCACAAATATAATAAATTAAGAAAACACTGGATTTTTAAAGTCATATAAAAGCAGAAGATCATGTTTTAAGGGACACAGATGATTACTGTCAAAGCACTGAATAATTACAGAAACCCAAGACAATAAAAAAACTCTCCAAGAATTTTTCAGCTCCTTCTTACAAGTGTTTTTTAAAAGAGATTAGGCATTTGGCCTAGTTAATATTTTGGTTTTATTGTCTAAAACTTTTTACAGTAGCTCTGTTTAAAATATCCCTTTCCTTTTCCATTCCAGCAAATATAAATAAGACATAAACCTCAGAATATTAAAGTTACTTGTGCTGTTTTAAAGTGAAATTGTTTACAAGAAAATATATACACATATTAAGCTGCTGTTTGGGTAGGAATTTTAAAAATTAAGTTGCCCCCATACTTTTAAGACATAACTCTAGAGCATTCTAGCATTTAATACCCACACTAAAAAGTCATCCAAGTTCCACGCACAGACAAAATACTCACTTACTAAAATGAGCCATTAAGTTTAATGTGTGAAAGTTGCTCCAGCTTTTTTACTTCTAAAGGTATAGAAGCAAAGTTCTTTTTATTTCTTGTATCATGTTAAACAAAGGATGTGTTTATTCTGAAAAGTTACGGAAAATCTTAAAAGAAAGGAGAGTTGCCACTATAACACAATCAGTATTGGGTAACACCACTGTTTTTAAAGTGTGTCTGAAGGCAGGTGTCATGGTGTACACCCTACACCCATCATCCGTGCAACTGGGAGGCTGAGCCACAAGGATCACAAACGTGAGGCCAGCCTGGGCTACATAGTAAGACCCTGTTTCAAAAAATAAGCAAAGAATACCAACAAACAAACAAAAACGCATTTTAGAATCCTTAAAAAAAAACAAGCCAGACATGGTGGCACACACTGTAATCCCAACACTCAGGCTGAGGAAGGAGGATAATAAATTCAAGCTCGGCCTGAGCAACTTAGTGAGATCCTGTCTCAAAATAAGAAAGGAAGAAAAGAAACAAGGAAACTAGGAAGAAAGAATGGAAGGGAGAGAAGGGGAGGGGAAGGAAGGGGAAGGGAGGGAAAGGGAGGGGAGGACAAGAAAGACACAAAGAAAAGAAAGTTAGCTAGCTAGCTAGGGATTTAGCTTAGTGCAAAGGCCCTGGGGTCAATCCCCAGTACTAGAAAAAAAAATTTTTAAATATAAACTGGCAATTTATATGGATCAATGTTATAAACATGAAACTACTATAAATGTAAAATAAGCAAAAGCACACTTTCTGCTGTAATTTATCCAGCCAGTCATACTCTAGATATTGTATAATTATGATTTAAAATTGCAATAAAGTAAAATGTACCCCATACATATTGTTGATAGAAGTCCTTTTGTCTTCTATTAAAAAGTTCTTTTGTAAATTAGAAACTAATCCAATGTGGGGAAATTTGTTTTCTTTTTTTTTTCTTAAACATATATCAGTCATCCTATCTCAGCTGGCTAGTGTCACAAGCAGAATCATACATCAGAGAAGTAAAATTCATATAACATGGAAAATATAAAACCAAAGTTATACCGTAAAATTTGTTGAAAGTTTCAATCAGAATAATACTGCAGATTAAAATAATAAAAATTGTGTCAGAATACAAATAAGCCTGGTATCTGATCAACTTATGTCACTGTGTAATTTATGCTAATAATTATAAAACTTTTAAGTGGTATTATTTTGTGACTATTTCAATTGAATCCAATAGATAATATGCATTTTAATGGCAAAACCAAACTCAAAACACAAATTTTAAATATTCATGGAATATTAGATAGGATGTGATTACTGAAAAATCATTTTGAGGAAGAATATCTGTTTACATGGAAAAAATGTTCATTACATATAGCTGAATGAACAAAGCAACGTGTAAAACAGTATAAAACCACAAGATACTTCTGTGTAGAAGTCTGCTATTTCTAACTTTGCTACTTCCCTTCTGACCTAATGAATGCTACAGTTAAAGAGGAGTTGGGATACAGCTCTGGCAAATCCCCACCTGTAAATGTTGTGTTCTATGGGGTTGGGGTTGCCAGAACAAAGTGAGAATCTAAGTAGAGCGTTTACAACAGAACTCTTTTGCGTGAGTCTTCCCAAAATTAACAACCAATCACCAGGCTCACAGGACCTGATACTCCAATACCAAATGACTCACTTGAAACTTAGAAGAATGACCAAACATTTACAGGAATAAATTTATGAACTACCAAGAATGAAACTCTTTTCCTTTTTTTTTTTGTGCATTTATGTATGTGTGTGTGTGTGTGTGTGTGTGTGTGTGTGTGAGAGAGAGAGAGAGAGAGAGAGAGAGACATACACACAAACACACAGGGAGGGAGGAGTAAAGGAGGGAGGAGAGAAGGGCAAGAGGGTAGAAAGGAAAGGATTGATACATTAGGCAAATACAAAGCTTACCTGAAATAGCCTGGTAAAAATATCAAATTCAAATACTGAAATGTAATCATTGAAAGTTAAATCAATTGTTGATTTCAGAGCCATTGCTTCTAGGCCAGAGCTAATTTGATGGACCTCATGAAGGCACTGTCTGAATACTTTCCATGGTACAATAGTTCTGTGCAAGGGAAAAACAAAATTAATTATTGAATTAAGTGGCAATGAACATATATCTTCCACTGAAACACCACAATTTTTAAATCATAAAATAGTAACATTTGCAGTGAAAGAAATAGTTGAGAATACTGTTCAAAATTCAGATCACAGTAATATTAACTTTGTCATATTGCATTTACTAAGAAAGTTAAAAGAAACAATTTCTTTCTTAAACACCTCAGCTATCAAGATATCTCTATAAACACATTCAAAGGAAGTATCAGGTTGTTTAGCTATGGCTTAATAGTAAATTCTCCTTTTCTGTTTTCTTAAGGTAGTTACAAGAGGATGGATCCATAGAATAGCAGGAATCTTTATTCACTGTACAAGAGTCATGTGTATACACCATTTCAATAAGCGTAGGGTAGAAAGTCATAAAGACTTGTGTCCCCTTACTGATGTTTTCTGCGGAGATGAAAAACGCATGTAACTCTTCATTCTCATGCAATGAGAAATCTTACTTTTAAAAAAGTAACTATAATTGCTATCTCAGAGGAATTAATTTATCCACCATCTCTTCATTCTTTATCATTCACATCACATATCAGAAATTTTAATAAGTAATACATCTACATGTTACATGTTCAAAAAATTTAGAAGCACACAGAACATTAGCCAGGAAGTTCTATCTCCCAACCAAATCCCTAAGTGACTACTTTCCAACTTTCACTCATCTTTCCCTCCCGCATGGAAATTAATTAACACCCTTTATATACTGCTCAGTGACATTCTTCCTCTTAGGTCAAGTGCTTATTGCTGAATCAATAGGAATGGAAGAAATCATTTTTTTTTGGTACTGGGGATCAAACTTGGGACCTTGCGCTTGCATGGCAGGCGGTGGAACCACTGAGCTAAATCCCTGGCCCTTCATTCCTATTTTTAAAAATGTAAATGGTAATTTTCAAAAGAGTTAATATGCACCCTTTTAAAAGATAGCAAATATTTAAATTTTGAGTTTTTTTACCACTGTCTTTTAAGAAATAAAAGACTCAAGCAGAAAGGACAAAATTTTGCCTGGCCCCATTGTATATGAATCCTCCCAATGGAGAATTATCACTAAGTTTCACATTTCTTATTCATGACTGAGTATCTAGCGTAGTGGCTGTCAGCCTTAGCATCCATCTGAACCATACAAAGGGCTTGTTAACACAGAGACTGCTCAATGCCAACCCAAGATATCCTGTAGCCCTGGGTGGAGTCTGAGAAGTGAGTTCTAATTCATTTCCCACTGACTCCAATGTGCTGCAACCCACACCCTAAGTCTGCAAATCGACCTACTAGCTATTAATGGCTAAGTCAAGCACTTTCAGGGACACAGAACTATGGAAACACACTCACAGATACCATCTTGGTTCTTGAAGAATGTAAGATTTGTAGTGCTAAAAAAATACAGAGAGGGGAGAGGACCTTGGCCTCTTTGAGCCCTGAACTGTCCAACCTGCGCCCTGCCCACCACCGACCAGTCTTCAGACCATGAGGACCTATACAGAGGCACAGGGGGTCATAAAAGCTATTGTCCTGAGCTCCAGAAGATAGAGCAGAAGTGAACAACTGAAAGAGGGCCTCTCTCAGGCTCCTTTATGAAAACTGAAGCCCACTGGAAAAGTGAAGAGAATCTCTGCAATAAAGGCACACGAGACCACCTTACTTGGTAAGTTGGAGGGATCATCACCTCCCATCCCAACTTGGACTATCTTCAGGGGAAGGGCAGCTGGAACCTGTAGTAGAATATTGCAGAGTTCAACTCTGCAGGAGAACAGGGAGCTCAACTTGGGACTACTTGGAGCCAGAAATCTGCCTGAGTCTCACAGGTCTGCTGCTGCCTTGCTGAGACTCACTGACTTATATCTGCACACTACTGCCCATGTTGTCTATTGTGACAACAGAGACATGCCCTGAAGGAGGCCTTTCATTTTTATTTTTTACAAAATATTATTTTATTTTTTCATAAAATAAAAAAGCAACAACTCAATGACATCAGGAAAATAACATATGTATAAAATGATAAAATCTACAAAAAGACCAGTCCCTATAGCCAGTCTCCAGTAGACTCAGGCTCAAGAATGCCTTAGAATTATCTGGCCCACATAGGCCCAGACTTTGGAATGACTCCTGTGGACACAAGCTCCAAGCCCACTATGATGGACATCTGAGGCAGGCCATATCAGGTGTCTTTTGTCATCAGAATAACATGAAACTAGAAATCAATATTAGGAATAAAATTAGAAAATTCACAAATATATGGAATTTA